TTTGCACCTTGCGCTGAGAGCTTTAGCTTAAAACATCCGTGTTAGCAAATGTACAAAGGTTTGATTCGCACGCCCCACCCCGGAGCGCAACTGAGATCCTCATTCGAAAATGCTTTTCTTAGTTATCTTTAAATTTCATGTACGACATACTAAAGAATGAATTCCATCCAAAAGTTGGTCTTACATATAACCGTCGCTATATTCAGTATTCAAGCTATTTTTTTGCTTGATGTGAGGCTAACTTTCCACATGTAGCACGGACCTCTCCCTAAATAAGTTCCATCAACTTTATCATATCCATTACTTTGGCGCACAGAAGTGTATTGCGACCTCGTGCGATTGAACAACATTGTGTCTGTAAAATCGGAAAGTGTATAAACCATATTCACCAGACTGTAAAATACAAACTATGTTACAGACTCTTCACCAAGATGGAAGGAACCATGCCTTACATGCACTACTGCACTTATTTTACTCTACTCTTGTTACTCCATTTTTTTACTTTTAAAAGCCTCGTTGCTTCGTGACATACCCGCAGCCAGGCAATAGATACATTGTTAGCACCAGTAGTGCTTTTGCATTACAATAGTTTGTATGCTGTTTCCGCCTTAAATAGATTATAGTATATTTAATCCGATTTCAATACATTTATGACCTGGTTAGTACTGTTTTTAGTTTTTCTATTGGTTTTGTACTTGAATTGATTGACTTTAGGTATTGCGACATTATCTTCATCATTTTATAAATGATCTTGATGACTTCGGATATGCATATTATTATATTTATCATTCTACAAAAGGATATAAGTGTCTTGTCTAAAGGACTTGAAATCGTTCCAATAATTTAGCATTAGCTCTATTTAGAGCACTAGGCATTCGATAATACTTACAATGCTCGAGACCCAGATATAATGACATGAGTCATTAGCATTTTAAAATTTTGAAAGTGTAGCTAGGCGCATGGAGGACCTACAAATTTATATTTATTCAGTAATATCTTGAACAGCGTGTGTTTTCAAGAAATACTATTATTTTAATCGTAATTTGTTTTCTACAGAAATATCAAGATAATATTATCGAGAAATCATAGCACAAAATAGAGTAAATAACATCCCAATAACTCAAATTGTGCATCATCAAAACCTGCGCTAGTTAGGAATCTGATCTCAATCGCAATCGTAGCACTGGTGTTGACTATGATAGCCTCGCTTCACCGATTGATGTCTATAATAGCCGTGATCTGTAGCCCAATGCATGTAGTGTTCTCTACCGTCGCGCTGGCTCACACTGAGAGAATATCGTATAAAAATGTAAATACTAATGTAGCCAATGTTTGGTACGCATTGGTAGTGAAGCCGTCACATTTTAGCCGGTAAAAAAAATCTAGCTACAGCTTTGACTCAATAACGAGCAGAAATATAGTTACCTTTAATGGGATAGAGATTTATAAGCCAATTTAAGGGCAAAAGTGGAAATGTCCTCACGTTTGAGTCATTACGAACTAGTAGACAGGCGAATCTAAAGGACGGAATAAGCAAACGGAAGAACAGACGTAAATATACGAGACTCAAATTGATGTTTAAGACAAGCCAAGATCCGCTCGCGTTTGTTGAGTACGATCCGTGTTACTTGCTGTTCTAGCTTGCCCCACTTTGCCCTCGATCTGGCCTTGTATATCAATGTTATATTCATTCGTCGCTAATCCAAAAGGTGAATAAGCAAAAATTGTGTGCTGTGTTCGGCTTGTATACACCGTATCCTCATCTACATTTGTGTGCATTCCAAATAATTCACTCCTATCCACCATCTCTTCCAGTGTAAAAATATTAGCCAATCAGCATGTGCTGGTTTAGATTGTTTCATCAAAAGGTCTTTATTGATGGACAAGATGGTGATTTCACTGGCAGCAAATCTGTGCTTGCAAATTATCCTTAACGTTAATTATGGATTTATCATCATGCGCCAATGTGTGCATGATTATGTCTTGAAGAATGATATCATTCTTACAAAGAATGCAAGGATCAAAGTTCGCTCAAATGATTCGCCAACTTTTTGCCTTCTTCCCACTGACATTATCCTATTCAATACAGGGTTGCAGACTATATGCTAAATCTGGCTTCACCTTCCTATTCATTTAAGCTTCACTGCTTTCAAAATCATCATGTGCACATCACTACTGGGTTGGCAATTGCCTGCAATAACTTAATGTTGTTTTTCTCTTTAATTGAAAGCTCTCCAAAATAACGGAATGAGCTGCATAATTCGGCGACATTCTGTAATTTCAGAGGAATGGTGAAGTTAGGTGAAGTCCGCGCTTCAAGTTAACCCCATGTTTTGCCCAATCCGATGTTGTTTTTATACAGAATATCAAATCTCTAATCTCATTATACCCACAAGTGTCGTGGTTTTGGTCAGTCTAATGGGATCTATAATACAGCTCGCCCTGGAACAGCACAAGGATAAGGTCGGTATAAGTCGTTGAGGTGTATGTAAGCCGGATGGTTTATACAGTTCAAGAGTGTCATTAGACCTTAAAAATGATGAAGTAGTGTTGTAAAGTCAACGATGTAAAGACCTTTACTTCTACTATCAAATAGTAGTACCATAAGTAATATCGGAATAAAAATCCGATTGTCCTTATTACTTATGTAAGGAACTACCTGTTATCAGGATGCAAATCTTCTTTATGTGTCTCCGACAATAGCGCTTATTTAGCATGAGGACTTATCCCACGGGAATACGTGCAGGAATATCGTGACGGTGAAGCTCCATTGGTAGACGAGAGGAGCTGAGCTCATCATTCGTCAGGGATGAACCTGTCATCTAGGACACTACCTCATAAAAATCCCACATATTCATTTTTCCTTTGTTCAAACAAATATCTTTACGTGGTGACACGTGCCTTACAAGGCGTGCTTCCCCAGATCGATGCGCGCGTTATACATTAATTCGGTCCACTGAGGAAATACTCTCTTACAGAGCAAAGACCATTATGAAGGGAAAGGCGTGACATTATTGACGCTTTTCCGTGTCAAGCACGAAGCAGGTCTGGTGAGAAGGAGTAAATCTTATGACTCGATATCGACTTTCTATGTAGAAAAACTAACAACAAGTGGCGAATTGTGCATACTTATAAATCGCCAAATGCAGCCAGGATTCCAGCGCAAACACCAATTTTTGAATATGACGTGTTGCAGAACAGCACATTCGGCATCACTTTGTTTAGTGTCCTTAACCTGTTTGCTTGCTACTATTGATGCTGATGTGAGACGGCTATATCCCTCTAATGGTCGGGAGTATTCCGAACAGAATATTTGGGAGTAACTGGTTATGCCACCGATACTATATCAAGCACTGGAGACGCTCAATCGCCTGAGTTACAGCTTTTCAGCTTTCATCGTGGCGAGGCACAACCCTTTTTTTACAATATAGACACATGAAACCCTTACGAATGGTGCTTGAGTGTATGTACTCCAATACGATATTCGACAATAGACAAGCGTGTCTTTGGCGCCGACAAATATTCATTTTGCTAGGTGGCTTAGTAAGAAACTATGCCTTGTGGGCTAATCACGCGAAGTTTGTGGTCACTGTAGATTATCTAGCTCCTCTGTCCCAAAATAATTTGAAAAACTGGCCTTTCTGACCGACTACTTGCACAGGTATATGGTGTCGGTGAAGACGAGCGAGGTTTCTAACAGTGAGAACTTGATGTGATAGCTATCTAGCCACCTAGACGTTCGCGTCGTGGGGCTTGAACTATGCCAAGTAAAGCATAAGAGGATGCTTGAAGTGAATGCCACCTTCGCTGTAGCATCCATAAGCCTCACGTATGTGAAACGGAGTCTAATGTGCACATAATGCGAATTTAAGTCATTTACTCAACGGCGCATTTGCCAGCTCTTGTTCCAAAAATAATACATCCCTCTGAATAAGAACCGATATGCATCACCATTGCTGCTCCAAGCAAAGACGGTTAACCATGGGAGTGATTTCATGTGGGTTTAGAGAGCTCGCAGAGCAACCTTCTCGCTCGCGTCCATCATGGGTGTGACCTGAAGGCCGCACGTAGGCGCGTAGGAGCTCCGCGCCAACTCAGTAAGCGATTTCGGGTGATCTATCAATAATAACGAAGTGATTTGTGCAAGAGTCGGCGCGGCTCTTGCGCTTTCAGCGAGTAAGCTGAAACTTGAGTCAGGTCTATTCCGTTACTAACGAGCTGGACATCGTCATCAGCTCCATAAAGGGATGTCGAACACTTCTCATCGATAATAAAATGCCTTAAGTTTGAGACTTGTGACGGGACACCGTTACGCAGATACACGTGGTACATGTGGCGCAACTATAAAAGAAGTTTTATACAAATCATGCTGGCTGCGGCTAGCAGCTCAAGTGTACATTTTACCCCTTCATTGTGGAGTTCTGTTATTCAAAAATTACTGATAATCCGGTACTATAAGTGCTACTTGTACAGTTGTTCGGTACTATCATTGGTTTAATTGTGTCGATGAGTAAGGGATAAGTGTACAACGCTACATTACTTAACCCGGTACACCTTCTCCCTAAGATGTGAACCACATTGGGGGCTCACACTGATTTTTTCTTTTTAATGCACTGCACAAATGTGACCGTCTCACGGACACTAGGTCTGAAGTTCCACTTCACTCTACCACTTTACTATGCCTGCTCTTCTGTTAGTACTTGCACCGATAGTTCGCCAAACTGAATGGTTCAACAAGTCTCCACTAGAAGCGCGGTCTTCGTGACGGAAATGCTTTCTAAAATTTTCTGTTGGGATATCCAGTGCTCTCTAATGACAGCGGACCCAGTAATTCTCCGAGTACCGACCAAAATACTCTGTCCTCATCCAATACTCGGTCTAGCCCTTTTCCGAGGAGGAGAGACCCACATTTACGCTGCACCTCTGGAAATTGAGCTCTTCAAAAATGAGTATAGTGGCACTAAAATACATTTATCAAAAAGCCTTTGAATGTAGTAGTTTATGTACTTGATGTTTGTGTCTTTAATATTAGCAAATAATACACCCTATGTTTGTAAAAGGGGCATAAGTGATTTAAGTACATAAATCAAATTACAGAGCTAAAATACGCGAGTGCTATGGATATCAGTTAATCGGGTAAAATGGGGAAAGACAAGCTGAAGCGCGCATTTCATTCGTTGTGCGGTGACTACGGGGAGTTTTTGGATGATTTGGCGCAAGCAACGCATCCGAACGATGAGCGTATTGGACTCGCTTTATTCAAAATTGATGAAGCTTATGCAGCAGCCGATGGGCTGAGGCAAGAATCGCAACAAATTCAAAGGAAGTTGCTAAACGAGCTGTTGAGCAGCTGCCACGAGCTTGAAAGTATAATGTTGCGCGTAGATCTTATAGAGGTGGGCGATCTAAAACATATATCTACAGGCGACGATAGAATTTAACTTTGACTGATTTTGCTAGCGCTTTGTCGGACAGCTGCTACAAACAATGCGAGAACTTGAGAAACGAATGGAGATTATGAATCGTGTCGCCAGCTCAGTTTTTTACCCTAGCAAAAGTGTAACCAACTTATTCCGGTCTTTTTCTGCCAAGGTGAGCTTACAGCAGTCGTGGTCAATTTTATGAGTAATTCACATAGACGATCTAACATGCTTGTTGATATTGATACGGGTGGTGTTTGCTCAGCATGGAATACCTAATACGCCTCTAAATAATGTCGAGTGGAGCCCGGTAGCGTTCGACTTTGATACGAAAGAACTCATGAATAAGTTGAAGCAGACTGACGCACGAGAGATCGGCGTCTCTACCTCATCCTCCTTACATGAATCAGCAGTAGATGCAGGAAGTCAGATTGCTTGAAATGAGCTCTAAAGTGTAAACGAGCTCGAATCTGAGTAAATTTTAAAATTTTGTTATGACTAGCTAGCATTTAAGTGCTTGCATTATCATCACTTAGTGCAATTTGCCCGGTTTAAAACCAGCTTGCTGTGATTACGACCATTACCAGTTCTTATATATCACGATACACTCGTTTGAAGCTGCTAAGTATCAAGTCTCCAAGTCGTAAGCAAGAAGCTAATAGGTATGTCTCTTTAAATTTGACACACTGGACTTTGGAGCCTCCAGAATAACTTTTTGAGAGCAAGTGCCGTACAGCATTCATTGGTTACGTGCATTTTATGCGTATGTCACATTCACTTTTAAAATCGTAAATGTTGATGCAATGCATGGAAATATTGCAGGCTTGGCATGAGTATATCCTAAAACTACCGTTTAAATGACGAGAACGAGTTTGACATTCTCCACAAACAACATCTGCAGTTGCTCATGTATTGAACAAATGTGTTTATACGATTTTATTGTAATCCTACTTGCTATTTAAATTTTTTTCGTCGTTCATCAAAATGGCAGTACTTTGAAGCTTACTTAACCGAGTCTATTCAAGCCAAAGCTTCATTACTTTGTAACGAGTGAGATTTGAGCTGCGAGCTCAACTTACGACGGACTTTGACGACAACGGGGCGGCTTTTATTGTCCATGAAGTTATAAAAGACTGCTTACGGCACGTGCTTGATGCGAAGGTTGAAGAAAGCAAGATGGAGTTGAACTCAATGAGGTCAAAACGAAGCTATCAAGGAATAAAGATAAAGTCAAATTTGCAGGATAGCACGGCAGGGCTTGGAACGTGTGATGTTGCTAGCCGTAAGGAGCGCACCATCCATGCTTAAGTAAATATATGCACCTCAAACGAAAAAAATTGCCAATAGAGATGTGTATTGATCAGTGATGAGCTCAGAAATGATGTAAAGTGGCAATGCCACATCATTCAGTTTGTGCTTTTGATGAGTGTTTTTATTAATGAATATGGATACCACGTCGTCACCTTCTGATGAAAAATCTTTCCTTCTGTCATTATTATTTATGGGCTAATCTGACATACTGATATTTTCATGTTTATGCATTTAAAGCAAATCAAGTCGACGATGAATATAATTCAACCGAGTATTGTGGGGGACAAACAATTGCGTCGTAGTAGAAAGCCATCATACATTTAGTACCTACAAAAAAAACATATCGTTTATTTACCTGACACACTTTTGAGTGCATCGACTTAGAACCGAGTCGAATACATCTGCCGAATGCTTCTCCTGCATTTTAGAGTAAATTTGAAGTAGCACATGTGCGTCCAACGCGGCATAGTGGAGCTGAGCTTGGGAAAGTGGACGTCGCTCCCAATTTGACATACGAGCACGCTTATCTAAAGGTCGACCTAGGTAAAACTTTGCAATTGCTGCCAAGCTTAAGCAACAGGACTTGACCCCAGCATCATTTTCTGTGACCTTATACTGACGCTTTTTTGGTCTTTTTTCTGTTGCTAGTGCCACGCTATCTGCTGCCATGATACTAACACCAACATTTTTATCGACATAATCGATAGCTTCACTTAAAACAGCCAGCTTTTTTGCGACAACTTGCAAGTCGACAAGCATCGAGATCAGTTTGGAGGAGGTGTCACCTCCTGTGAGAAACGAGCGAAGATGTTTCACATCACTTTTCGCATCAAAGGCTAGCTTTATGACGGATTTTGATAAAAAAAGCGGGGCCAAGATACTTCCATGCTCATGCAGTGCCATCACATCCACGACAAACACCTTCTCACAAGACGCTAACTGAAGAAGTGCACATCTTGCAACAGCATTGTCTTTAGTATCTGAGATGTACACCGCCTTCCACTCTGAGTCAAAGCCAACAGCCGGTTGCTTGATCAAGTGCTCTACACATGCCTGCAGTGCTATTGGAGTATCAACAAAGACAATACTTGCTTCACTGATGACTTCAACGAGCGATAGAAACATCCCATTAGGATCCAGATCGTCTTGATTTTCAAAAGCTTTGCCATCCTCTGCACTTGTATCAACTTCAGGAAATATATCTTTGAGCCCAGATCGGAAAATGAATTGCTGAGTAGCAGCGTCTTCTACGCCGGCAATACGAATCACCTTGTTACAAGCGTGCAGCTTCAAAATCTCGGAGTGTTCAGCAAATTGCAGCGCCTGTTCATATTCCTTTGAATGAATTAAAAAGCTCAGGAACGCTTTCTGCCGACTGGAAGAGGACATCAAAAACAAATTGTTTGTCGGTATCAATGTATATGAAATCAGAACTAACCAGTGTACCGTTCAAAGTAAACTGGGAAGGCATCGGCAGGTAATTTGAACAGCGACAGTCTCTTTTTGATAACTTTGTCCGGCACAGAACCATCGATGAGCATCTGCACAAACTTTTGTTGGTTCCCTCTATGATTCTTAACAAACATATCGCCTGCGCTAAAGTCCTTCTGCTTGATGCAAGCCTCAAGTACCACGTCCGTCGGCAGCAGGTCTTTCTTCTTTAAACACTCCATTAACCGCGCAGCAAGCCCCACACGAATCTCAATCAGTTGCGAGCAAAACACACTTAGTGTCTCTTCTTTCACGCGGTAAGCGAGCGCAAACTGGGCCACGATGGACATGCGAAAGCTTTTGAAGGCTAAGAGCAAGGAGCCCGCCCGCTGACTGTCAGCCAGGGATATCTGTAGTTCTTCGTAATGCTCTATACAAGCCACAGCAGTCTCAATCCACAGCGAGACATAGGCCATATTTTTATCCGGAAGCTGACAGTACAGGTCGACGCACTGCAAAAAGATTGAGAGCGCTTGTGGCACCAATGAAAAGCATAGCGACAGCTCCGTAGATAGCTGAATCGAATCGCAGACGCGCATCATATGCAATGCATCCTCTAGTCGCATCTGCTCGAATAATTCTGCTAGCGTCTCTTGTCGGTCCTTTATGGTCTGCTGCTCCTCCAATTCGATTTCTGCATAAGGTCGATCAGGCATATTGAAATGAAAGTTTTTCAATTTAAGTCTAAATATCACTGATTCCTGACGCAAATGTAGGATAGATAGATCTAAGTCTAAACATACAGTCCCGAGATTGTACCACGGCACGTCACAAATCGGGACTGAGCTTATAGTTCTGTAGCTTAACGAGTTCACGCCATGACGAGCCGTGGCGAAAATATGCTTGGGTTTGACGAGGAGAGTGAAGTAAAGAGATCGATATTTATTTGTAAGAGTACCGTTCGTGGTGTGAGGCATACAAAATCCCAGTGAGCCATATCAAGAAATCAACATTTGCGTTGCTTTATGAGTCCTGCAAAGGAGTTGACGTGCACTTTGCACACTGGAAGCTTTGAGCTTTCCGAATCCGTGGTTACAGACGCAAAGAGGTTGGGTTCGTGCACTTCTTCAAGGATGAACTTCAAGAGTAATCTATACGGGTAATTCACTTTGCTAATCAAAGAATCTACATTTATATATATATATATATATA